ACCTTGCCTCTGGAGGGAACTAATAACTGAGGCCTTGTCTATTTAAAATGCTTTCCTGAGCCTGACTAGAGTTTAGTCAAGCAGTCTCTAGGTAGGCAAAATCAGGTAAAGTCAGTTTGGTCCTTACAGAGGAAGCCCCTCATCAAGATGGATTGGTACTGTGGCAGCAACAGCAGGCTCGAGCGTAACAATGATTGAGGATACTTCAGGCTTGGGTACTGTTTTGTTCTGTCATGCATAAGATCACTATGAGTCAGAACTGATTTGACAGCACCTAATAACAACAAAAACTGTCCCCAAGGATCATAAAGTGCCCACGATGGGTAGTTTAAAACAACAGAAATTTGTTCTCACAGTTCTGGAGGCTGGAAGCCCAAAAGCAAAGTGTCAGCAGCACCACGCTCCTTCAGAAGACTCTAGGAAAGGATTCTTCCTTACCTATTCAGGCTTCTAGTGCTTGCCAGCAATCCCTGGTGTTCCAAGGCCTGTAGCTGCCCGGTCCCAGTCTCTGCCTCCACACGACTGCCTTACCTGTGTGTATCTTCATGTCTCCTTGCCTTATAAGACCTGCAGCCATTGGATTGGGTCACTTTGGTCCAGCATGACCCCATTTTCACTGGATTAATTTGCAGAGACCTTAACACAGTCCCATTCACAGATTCTTGTTAGACATGAATTTGAGCGGGGAAAACCCTATGAACGTTTCTGAGGCACCTCCTCTAGTACAGTTAGCATGCTCGATACTAACTGAAAAGTTGGAGGTTCCAGTCCACTCAGAGTCTGCTCAGAAGAAAGGCCTAAAGCAACCACTGTAAACCCTCTGGGACACAACTCTCCTCTGACACATGAGAGACCCCCGTGAGTCAGAATGGACTCCACAAGCACTAGTTTACAGGTTATTCACCCCACTGTAGGAAAGCCCTCATGTGGCACTGTAGGATAAGCAATGGGCTGCTAACCTCAAGGTCAGCAGTTCAAGTCCATCAGCCGCTCTAGTAAATGCTATGCGGAGTCACTATGAGTCGAAACCAACTCACCGGCACTCAACAACAACAACACAGGGAAAGAAGAAAAGAGAGGAGGTGGAGGGCTGGGGTGAGAGGCAGGGACTGGGAGGAGATGAAGCTACTGTCCACAGAGGAGACAGAGGAGAAGGGGCTCTGGGGCAAGAGAGCCAACAGCCACAGGGTGTTTCATCCCACAGGACTGGCCATCTAGATACCAGTCCCTGCAGGACAAGTTAAGCCACAGGTGGCCCTTTGGCTGAGTCTGAGCCCTCTCTTCTCCCCTCTCCACACCCCTTTGCTGTACCAGCCCTCACACTCCCAGATACCAGTATCCTGCCATTGATTCTGACTCTTGGTAACCCCATATAT